AAGCATCACCAACCCCACAGTTCTTAAATACTGCATGAAGGGCATCAAGTGGGTAATACCAAGGCCTGGTAGCAATGGGACAATAGCCAGGACCCCTTCAACTACAGCTGCAGCTTCCTCTGAAGCCCCGGATGGCTCAGTTCAGTGAAATGATTCTCAGGGAGCCAGTTTCCTGGGAGGCCCTCCATGAACAGTATCCTGGACTGTCTGCTTAAATTATTTTCCACATTTTTGTTAGTGCATATTTCCCGTAAACATTAACCCACTTGGTCAGATTCTAACATGTATGTAAAGCTCTTTAATCATTCATCCATCACCTGAATTTTCCACCCCCTCCCCAGTTTCACATTTTTCCACCTTCAATGTGCATGGTGTATTTTGATCATATTCATCTCCCCATTACACATGCCTCCCTCAATTTTCCTTTTTTTTATCTAGGAAATTTTGAACTTTTTATGACTGAATTATACTCTAGGGTGTGTATCTTCTCATCTGTTTGTAGACACCTACCTTGGTTCAACTTCTTAGCTATTGTATTTTGTGTAACAATAAGCATGGCTATGCAGATATGCTTGTATGCTAGTTCAAATCCCTCAGGTATATCCCAAGTAGTCATAGCTGGATCCAAATGTCAAATACATGGTTGGGTGTTTAATGCAATGAAAATCACTTCTGGGTAGACTGGGAAATACAACTAGTGAGTTAATTTACTTTAACCCAATTAAAGCCATAATCTCTTTAAAAATGTACAACTTTAATGTACAAAAAGCAAATAAAACTAAATATTATGTGTCTTATTTCTTATATTGTTACACTGGCTATCTAATTCTTTGCTACACTTAGGTTCAGTACAGTCATCTGCCCAGTCTAGTGCATGTGTTTTTGTGTCTAGCAAATTGGGTCTCAAAGGATCAGCCATAGCATAATTGCTTACATGTGTAAAACTATTATATTTTTGGATCTGCAGTTCTTAAAATGATGTAATTCACCAAAATATTCCAGAGGGACCAAAAATAGTACAAAATAATCTCACAGTACCTAAGTGATGAAACATTACATTGTGATTGTTGTCTATTACAATTTGCCTCAAGGTATTTTGGACTGGTGTTTTCCTTTTCAATTACTCAAAAGCAAAGTGTAATGGGGTAAAAATTCAAGGTAATTGAAGGAGCAAGAATTTGATTTTTTTTTTTTTTTTTTTTTTTTGGTTTTTCTCCGGTACCGGGAACCGAACTCACGACCTTGCCCTTGCCAGGCAGGCGCTTTTGCCGCTGAGCTAAATCCCCAGCCCCGAAGCAAGAATTTGAAATGTACAATCTTTGTACTCATTGTTTTCAATTATTTTGATAATATAGTTAAAGTGTCTATTAATTTCTGCTAGGTATAGGTATTTATTATATTAAAAAGTGCAAGAGATAAGACTAACCTACATTGACATTTATTTAACAGAATTTTAATTAATCACGTTCAAAACTTAGAACTCAATTCCAAGTTTGATGAGAAACAGAATACTAAAATTTGCGTGGTGAAAGATGACTAAAAGTACTTTATACCGAGAGAGGGCAGTGAAACTGGAAGATGACAGCAATTAGAAAGCATTAATCTATAATTTGGATTTGGAGCCTAAATACATACAAATATAGAAGGTACAAGATATAGACATATTTGAGAAAAAAAAGTTAAATTATTATTAATATTTGATAACTGTTCATGCTGAAAGTTAGAATATATGAAATATGTTCTTTTTTTCTCTTGTGGGTAATGGTGAAAGATGGCTCCAGTCACTGAGTGAAATGTGTGTGTGTGTGTGTGTGTGTGTGTGTGTGTGTACTCTGATGCAAATGCCTGGAATATGGTTGTTTTTTAAATATATAAATTATCTTCTTATAAGATTAATATAGGTACTTATGGAATATATAGTTGACGGTGCTTAGGAAGCATTAGATATTTTCCTTTCCTCTTCAGAAAAGCAATTCACTGAGCTGTACTTTCTTATCACCCATGTATGAATGACAGTTGTTCCCACATCCTTAGATGACAGCTCCCAAAAAACATGGGCAAATGTGGTAGGAGCTGGCATAAACACTCTTAAGGAATCATTTTACCTCAAACAGAAACAGAGAAAGAAAAGTCCTTTAGGAAAATAAAGGTGATTAGAAAAATGGGAAGAGCCGAAATTTTGGTAACTTACAAAGCAAAAACGTAATAGCCTAGCATGGCAGGCAATGCTGAGTGCTTTAGAAAACTCAAAAAAGAAATGCATATTGAATTTGAGGGGAAAGAGGATACTGATGAAATTGCATTTCACTGGTGAGAACAAACATCAGGATACACTAGGTTAAGCTATAAATGTGTAGGACTGAGTGAGCATTGGTGGTAACTCTTCCCAGATTTCTGGTACTGAAGGACTGAAGGTGATGGATAATGGTCATGAAATAGAACTCACTAGTAAGCCTTAATAGATGTCCTTTTCTTTTAGGTTGATGGGAAAGACTGAATTGAATAACATGAGAAGAGATATGGGAGATGAGTGCAGGGATGAATGTATGCTCAGCTGTAGAAGTAAGACACCCTTTGTGCTCATTCTTCCATAATATGAAAAGGCTCTCTGCAAAGGACGGTATATTTCTGCATCACTGAGAGAAGGTGAAAAATTTTGTCTCCCTCTGATGTTGGACTTAGTAACATCTACTTCCTATAAGTGGCAAGTTTAGAGTAGGGAAATAAGAAGGAAGTGCTAGGTTTGGAAATCGGTGGCTGAATGCTTGGGTCAAGAAAAAGCAAGTCAATATGTAATACAACAAGCACTGTTAATTCCCTACCACTTTGTTTGTAACTCCATATTGTCTGTACTGTTCGTTTACTATTTTGTAAAAGGTTGTCTGTCTGTTAATGTTTTCCTCCTTTTATTTTTAAAATAAAAAAAAAGAAAAGGCAAGTCAAGTAAATGACTATTTAATTTCAAAGTGATTAATTTGTATTAGCTCAGTTTTCTGCATGGTATTCTTGGGAGCTCATTTACAAATGTTAAAAAGAATACTTCAAAATTATCTATAATTTGTTATATCCTGAAAGGACTAGAACACAAAAATTTTGTATGTTGAAACACATAGTTGTAAACTATGTATGATAAGTATTGAATACAGGAGGTAACAATTTAGGTAAGAACTAAGTAATGGAGCTTAAAACTATAAGCAAATAAATGAAAAGTTATGGAGTCATAAGAGGCACAAAGGAAGCGGTAAGGTGTTAGTGCTTCCATTTTGGGTACTTAGCATTTGATCAATTTCTAGATGGAACAATTACAAGATACAACAGTGTGAATAGGAAGCTCATGTGTAATGGTGGTGAGATGATCAGTGCCAAGTTTTCAAGAACCTAAGAGAACAGATGGGAAGTGTGCTACGTGTGGGAACTGACAACTTTGTGGAGCTGCAACTGACTTGGAAATATGTAAGTGTCAAGGCAGGTAAGTGTATAAAAAGCTCACAACATCAGGAGATGATTTTACACAAACACGAAAGGTAGCAGGAGTTGTGTCACAATCCCAAAAGCATCAGCAATATCTTACCTTTCCTGCCAAATCTGAAACAAATGGACAATTTCACATTGAGTGAGAAGCATTCTGAAGAGTTGTAGGTGCACAAGGAGGAGCCAGTGTTCATTTAAGAAAAGGAGAATCAAAGGATTGAAGACGGTGTAGAGTTTGGTGATATCACAGCCCAAAATACACAGGGTTTACCGAACACTAGTGTAAGTACTAAAAAGAATGAGGAGCTACAAGGATTAGAGATTCCAAGTCAGTGAGGCAACTGAAGGCCATCTCAAAATGGTTATTATGGGATTGCAGAGAGACTTCTACAAAGTAAGCGTCAATCCACACAGTAATAACATTATACTTATTTGGTGTAATGCATGAGATAGTCGCTGCTTTAAGTACCTGATGTAGATAAACTCAGATTACCTTTCTAAATTTGTCTTGATTTCTGGATGATTAGGAAGTGGTAGCATCTCTGCAAGGTGATAATTTGCACAAAGTATGATTTGAGATTACAGAATGAAGATGTGTGAGTTATTCAACTGTACTTACTGCTAGCTATAAAATACTGATAGGGTATAGACATTCCACTTCAGCTCCCACGTCTGAGAATGACAGTGGCAACCATACTGATAATGTAGAGACATGACAGAGAAATTAGGCCAGGTTACACAGTACAGTGAATTATAGCAAATGTTTCTCATGTGCATTCAGGATAAATATCAAAAGCTTCCTCTGTGTAGTCAGGAGCCAGCTTGTATTTCTCTAAACTCATCCTGAAATGAATGTTTCTCCAACTTTGCATTGGGGTATTGAGGGTACCAGGGGAATGTGGTTGGTTCATTTGATGCATGTTTAACCCTGCTATCAGTAATTTTTAAAAAGAAAAATTATCCACAATTTAGGTGTTTCCACCATACTTTATTCACAAATACTACAAGAAATTAGGAGAAACAGATATCATAGATACTCCAAAGAACAAGAGGACAATTAAAATACCCCAAATATATGGTATAGGTATCATAATAATCTACAACTCTTTTTAGGATCTTTTATCTTAGCCCTCTGCAGAGGGTTTTTAATTTTATTCTTTCTGCTATTTAACATTTTCTGAAATTATAATTTTGATAAAAAATTCTGGTAGTTTTAAACACCTTTTAAAATCTATGTTAAAATAATTCTCAGTATCTTTTTTCTCTTATAAAGATATGCCATCGATTATATAATGAGACAAAAGTTAAAATACTATTTTCTACCTTTACAAAATCCTACAGAATTGCACACTTTGGAATTTCTACCTAGGATAAATCACTTGTAAAATCAAGCACAGCATGAAGAAATTGCTTAAGTTCAGCATAAATCAGTGAATTGATAATCCTGTCAATATTATTGCCCATAGGACATCTATTACTCAAAAGGTGCTCTTCAAAGACTTTATTTTAGACAAATATATGCCTCTTCTATGGCTAAAGGCAATCACTCAGCAGTATCTGGATTCATCCTCTTCGGACTCACAGACAACCCAGAGCTGCAAGTCATTCTCTTCGGTGTGTTCCTGGTAGTCTACTTGGTCAGTGTCATGGGTAATCTGGGACTGATTGTACTAATCCAAGTCAGTCCTCAGCTGCACACGCCCATGTATTTCTTCCTCAGCCATCTCGCTTGTATTGACTTTTGTTTCACCTCCTCTGTCACCCCAAATATGCTCATAAATTTTTGGCAGGAAATCAAAAGCATAGCATTCTATGCATGTGCAGTTCAGTTGTGCTGTTTTGTCATGTTTGTAGTTTCTGAACTGTACTTGCTCTCCATCATGGCCTACGACCGCTATGTCTCCATCTGCAATCCCCTACTCTATGTCATTTTCATGCCTAGGAAGCTCTGCATTCAAATGATCGCCAGCACATACGTTTATGGGTTCTCTGTGGGCCTCATCCAAGCAGTGTCAACATTCCAGCTGTCTTTCTGTGGCTCCAACGTGGTCAACCACTTCTACTGCGACGATGTTCCCTTAGTTGCTCTGGACTGTTCAGACACTCACATCAAAGAGCTGCTGTTGTTAATCATCCCAGGCTTCAATACCCTTTGCTCACTAGTAATTGTGGTCATTTCTTATGCCTTCATCCTCGCTGCCATCCTGAGAATTCAGTCTGCTGAAGGAAGACAGAAAGCGTTTTCTGCCTGTGCCTCTCACCTGACATCCATCACAATATTTTATGGGACAGTTATTTTTATGTACCTGCAGCCGAAGTCCAGCCATTCTCTGCATACAGATAAATTTGCCTCGGTGTTTTACGTAGTAGTGATTCCCACGCTAAACCCACTAATCTATAGCTTAAGGAATCAAGAGGTTAAAAATGCCCTGAAGAAAATTGCAGAAAAGTTGTGCTTGGCTATCAAATCATGAGAGCCCCTAGGCAAAGACGAGCAGGCTTTGGGCTTTGTCTTATGCAGATTTGTGGGGCTGAGAAAGCACAGAGGCACCTTCTCTGCTCCCATGCTCATGCTCACTTGGGCTGTGCCTCGAGTGCTGTTTCATTCTCAGGATTTTCCCTTTAGAGACATTTTGTGAATACTCAGCTGCTACATTTTAAAAGAACAAAGGAAGTGGAGCTGAAGAGAGACTGATCCAAATCTTCTTTTGCACAGCATGTTCAGTGGTTTAAGAATGGGCATGGGCAGAGAGAGGTTGCATCTGAACTCTTGTGATGTTGTGAAATTAACCTTATTTAAAAATAAATGCATACTGTGTGTTTTATGTTCAAAATCTTTGCATTGGTAATTTAGAAAACATACCAGTGTTTAATACAAGCGTGTGCTTTGTAGTACACTGGGCATGTCCTCATGTTTCTACTCTTTCTGCCATCAATTTCTGCAGGGGAAGACAAGCAGAGCCACCTTGCAGCTGGAAAGTGGCCAGTTCTGCTCCCACCCTGACCCTGCACCGCTTCACAGCATATAATCACTGCCCCTCTACCTCGGTGTGTGGTCAGGAATTTGACTCTCTGAAGTTTGGCTAATAATTCGGCAGTGAACATCTGTTATCATAGATAATTGATTTCTGCACCTCAGCTTCCTCATCTGTAGCAGGCAGCACTAACTCCTTTCTCCCTGCCCAGTTTTGAGCATGAGATAAGATTCTGAACGCAAAGAGCGTTGCTCAGTCCTCAGCACCCAGAAGGCGCTTCATGAATGAAGGTGATTGCACCTCACTGACCTGGTTATTGTATCAAGATTGCTCTTTCCGTTCTGGGCAATTGGGAAACAGCATTCTGTGAAACAGTTGGCAACATGAGATCCTTCCCCTTATTAAGAAATATGAAAATATAAAAGCTAAAGTGTCATTTCATTACAATATTTTAAACAATTTAATGCTTTTAAATTTTATTTGTGTGTTGTAGATGCATTTTAAAATACCCTCTTGTAGGTTTTTCTATACTAATGTCTTCAAATATGCAAAGTCTACATGAAAAAGAATCCACTTCTATTTTATCTCCCAAAGGTCAAATAAATAAGTTGTGAGTTTATTTAGTTCCATGCTTCTGAAAGTAAACATAACTTCCTTTCACTGAATGCACTTCTTGGATCAGATACTAGGCAAGGTGTCTTAACCGGGTTGCCTCACTTAATTTTCAAAACACTCCACTGAGATGGTATTGAAAGAATGAAACTACTCAAAGCTGTTTATGTGATTCACTAACACACTAGGACTGAAGACTGAAAGAATCAAATATTTAAATTCATTTTTAAAGAATCTTAAACCTTAATTCCTAAATGACTGTCTAGTTATACAAATAATTCTACAGAGAGCGCTTCCCTGTCCTCATCACAGTCCAGGTTTACACTTGTAATCCCATGGAAAAGTTATTGGAATCCTATCGAGTTAATTCCAGTCTAACACTCCCAGTGCAACCCATAGTTAAATATGAGATAATATATCCAAAAGGGCAGGGAATCAAAGGGGTCCTGAGTCTAGCTATGATGATGGCTAACTAGAGCAAAGGTCTTGACCCAGGGCCAAACCCAGGTTTTATTTATTCATGAAGAAGGGAGTGACTTGAGGATGAGTGACAATGGCAGGAAGTTCCTGAGTGCTGTGAACTGGGCTAGGTAGGAAGCCAGAAATCACCTGTGCAACATGCACAGAGAAGGATGTGCAGAAGGAATAATCTGCATCACATAATTGAGATAGTATCTAATGTTTTGGGGTCAGTGTTTCAGCTCTCATGTGTAACCTTTTATGCTCTGGGAAGTCATAGCCTCTTATCTAGAGCTCAATCCCAGCAGACAGACAGCATGGAGCAGAGCTCTCCATCCTGCCTCACCTCAGCTCACACGTTTTAATTGGTAGCAATGGGGGAATGGGGAAACACTGCCCTGTTGTCTCTACTTCAAAGACTACACATCAGCACCTTGGCTGGACTGATTTGCACTTAGAGCCAGTTGAAGCAATAAGGAAAAGTCTTAGCCAGCTCTGCTAGGAAGAGGGGGAGAGGAAGTAAAAGGATCTACATGCTATCATATAGGTACCAATTCCCCATGATGAATGTATTTTTTATGTATCACAAATATATACTAAGAAAAAAGGGAAAGAACTAAAAATTAAAAGCAATATTTTTCAACCAAGTCATCAAGATGTTATATGGTGAGATTTCATTACGTATAAAAAGAAAAACTAGCCTTCCTTGAATATTTTTATTTGTCATCATTGTGATATGTGACGCCGCTGTGTGCATCTGTACACACAAACATACTTTCTACACAGTGTGGAAAACAGAGACCTGGAGCTGCCCTATTAATCCTGCTTTAAAAAACAGGGATTTTACTCAGTCTTCAAGTCCAAAAACCACAACCTGCGAGCATATTTGAGTCACTCACTCATGGAGTACAAATAGGGAATAATCACCTTGTGTTGAAACCCTAAACTATTCTTTCTAATAGTGAGGGTTGTCATAATCTCATAAAATGGGAAAATAACAGGGTAATGACAAAATACTAGCTTAACTTTTCTTCTGAAATTCTATAATAAAAATAAATCATAAAAGTATATTAGATCACTGATTTTTAATTACAAATAATGTATGGAAGGGTGTCTGAATTATTAGCAGGGACAGATAAATGACAGTACAATGAGGTTACACTTAATTGAACAAATACTCAAATACATCCACCCTGCACATTTTTAACACAATTTACTATAAAACATGCTCTTCCAATTATATGTAAAGACCTGACATTAATCTAATTAATCTAATATCCTTCATTCTTAATACCCATATTTTTAATAAAACAAAACTCAGATAGACTTGAAATTCAATTTCAGTTTTTCATATTACTAGTTGTGTGTGCTTAGGCAATTTATAAATAATGGGGACCCATAGGTGGAACTCGCCTTCTTCATGTTTGTTTGAGTGTCGTAACTAGCGCTCTGTGATCAAGTGTCTGGCAGATTGTATGAAACCCAGTCATACAGCCCAGTCACACAGCCCCTCTAGTCCCTGTTGCTGATGAGGGTTTGTGCTGGGGTCCAGGTGGAGGGGAGGGGATTTAGGGGTTCAGACTGTGGGGAAGCCAGGGTCCCCCTTTTCCAACCTCCTGTTCCCCTTCAACCCACCCCCTCACTGGGATATTCTCAAGCTTTTCACACTGAAAAGGAAAAAAAAATGTTATTTTTAGATACATTTAAAGAAAAAATCTCCCTCTAGGGAGCCTCTTTGGCTCTCTTACTAAACGATTGGTGAGTCTCTGGGAGCCCAAAGAGTATTTAACTTTATGTAACAAATATTTTATAATCAACACTTACAAAGCGTTTATGAATACCTCATACAGTTCTAAGCAGTTCATAAATACTAACCCATGTAGTCCTGAAGATAATCCAATGCATTTGGTCGGATTATTTCCCAGTGTTGGAAACAGATTTGCAAAGCAGGAAGGTATAGGTGTAAAAGGCTAAGGTGAAAATAAATCAAGAAAATAACAAACCGCGAAAGTCTTCTTCCAGAGCCCAGACTTGAAATAAAACACTCCTCTGCCTTTGCTCAAAACAGACATGTGCGTGTTGGCCTGCTTGTGCCTGGATTTAAACACAACCTACACAAAATCTGCTTGTGTCCTTGCGAACTGTTAGTCTATTAAGATACTAAAGTCTATTAAGTAAAGTCCAATAACTAATAAAGTTATATTTTTGGTTGATTGTGGAGGAATTACTATAAAAATTTTATTTCATTTTCTTCTTTTGTTTCATAAAGCATGACGTGATCATATTCTTACTTTTAATATTTTTAAGGCTTTCTTCGAAGCATCTTTCACCTCTTTGTTCCTTAGACTGTAGATTAGGGGGTTTAACATGGGAATCACCACTGTGTAAAACACAGAGGCCATTTTGTCTGTGTCCAAGGAGTGGTTTGACTTGGGCTGTAGGTACATGAAGATCAGCGTGCCATAAAAAATAGTGACAGCCAGCATATGGGAGCTACAGGTGGAAATGGCTTTGCGTCTCCCCTGGGTGGAACGGATCCTCAGGATGGCAGCGATGATGAAGAGGTAGGAGATGAGGACGATAGAAGAAGAACAGATCATGTCGAAGCCAGCAAAGGCAAAAATGAGAATTTCCTTCACGCGTGTGTCTGAACAGGAGAGAGCCAAGAGGGGGAGGTCGTCGCAGTAGAAATGATTGATGACATTGGGGCCGCAATAAGCCAGGCGGAAGGTGATGATGGTATGGAAGAGCGCAACCAGAAAGCTGTAGGCGTAGGGCACGGCCACCAGCCTGACGCAGACTGTCTTTGACATCAGCGTTGAATAATGCAACGGGCTGCAGATGGCAACATAGCGGTCGTAGGCCATGGAGGCGAGAAGGAAGCACTCCGTGATCATGAAGGTCAGGAAGCAGCCCAGCTGAGCTGCGCACGCGTGAAAAAGAATGGTGTTGCGCTCCACGACAAAATTCACCATCATCTTGGGAGTAATGGCTGAGGAGTAGCAAAGGTCCACAAAGGCCAGATGGCTGAGGAAGTAGTACATGGGGGTGTGGAGTCGAGCATCCAGCCGGATCAAGGCGATCAAGCCGACGTTGCCCACCACTGTGACCAGATAGATGACTAAGAATACCACGAAGCAGGGCACCTGAAGCTCCGGCCGGTCCGTAATCCCCTTGAGGATGAATTCGGTGACATACGTCACATTAACTTCAGCCATTTATTCTGGCAGATGTTGTGGATTTCTCTGCACTTAAAGAATAAAAATGATGTTTCTCATGGCCTCTTCCAGTCTCAGGGAAAGAAAATCATTGCTTTCCTCTGGCTTGGAACCATGTTGTCACGTAGGCAAGAAGAATACCTCAACTCTCTAATGACAGTTCTGCATTCCTTTTACTTTCACAGTGGTCTTAAGAGTTATGCTGCTGTGTAAATTTAGAGGCTAGGGGAACAAATTCTTTATTAAAAATTAAATATTACAAAGTCATTTGAGACAACATTAACAGTTCAGCGTTACATTGCCACTGTCTTTTTAATGTGAAATAAATAAAGCATCATGAAAAATGTAATTAATAAATGGAACCATGTTCATATTTCACTTCTTTACAGTTCTGTGTGTCCTCCTGCAAGACATATTCAAACTATATCAAGACAACTTCATACATTAATAATATCTAGATAATTTTATATCTTCTATGACCTGCTCAAGTTTGTATAGCCCCATCTCTATTGATTGAATAAGTAAATGATGCTGTAGAATCGAGTTGAAAATTGATCACAGGCAAGGTAAAAAAATATATAATTTGATTTACATAGAAATTAGAAATGCATGAGTTTCTCTAATTCAAAATTTCCTGGGCTTTGAAGTTCATTGCCAATGAGTTAACACAATCAAGTAGATTATTAATTAACTTATTATTCTAAACTATGTGTAGACAGATATCTTTCCCCATAAATATGTGTAGGTATGTTACAAGGGCTTAAAATAGCTGAAACATATACCCTAATTGGAAGCACTATTTATTAGTGCATATAATTATACAGATTTAGTAGGTTACATTGTGACATATTCATACATGAATATATCAAACTGATCATGTATCTCCCTATATACCTTTCCTTCTTCAGTGCACTGATCCATTCCTCTTCAGCTTTAAGTAGTTTTATAAAAATATATACAGGGCAGAGGTGTTTTGACATAACTTACAGAATAATTGTGATCATTTATAGTTTTACCAGCCATTGAAAAGACAGAATATGCCCATTTAGCCTAGTATTAGCCTATATAAACTTTATTTTTGCTTCTGATTCTTTTCCATAAAGTAGAACCAAAAGTGTGGTATCTTACTCCTTCAGATTTAGTTGCTCACATGAAAGAACAAGGCTCCTAACTATCTCTATTTTTCTATAAAGTGTAGCTACATATTGGAAGCTTGGAGAAGAAAAGTGGGAGAGCTGCAGCTTACTGAGGATATCCCAGCCGCCCACATACTTGTCCATACTGAAAGCACAGTTCAGAAATTTTAAAACGTTAAGTGTGCGATGCTATCCTCTTCCGTGACTATTTTGTTAAAGCATATTCAGAATTCGGGTTTCTGGGACCTACATTAGGGATTCCCTGAGGCTGAAGGTACTGAACTTTTCCTCACAGTCTTCTGATTTCAACTCCACTTGCAAAATCACCACTGAAATCTTTACTGAGTATAATAAGAAGGCTACTATATAATGCAGAAGTAAATTAGACCACAATCTCTCAAATAGTGCCAGAGGAAGAGGTTTATTCATAATTTATATTTTATAATTTATAATTTAATTAACCAGGGCCATCTGTATAATACAATACTGAAGAGTATTGCTTTTATATTCCTTTAAGGTTTGTGGAGCTTCCAAGGTTCAAACCAAATCAGGGGAAACCTTCCTAGAACCACAAGGTATCAATGAGAACATTAGCTATTGGCAATCTTTACAATAACAAAGTAAAGTAGAATATTTAGACACCACATTATAGGAAAAAAACAATACTCATGGTGAAGTTGTACATTAAGCTAGAACTGGGATTTCAAGTTCAAAACCTTAAAATTTATCTCAGAAACAAAATTACCTATGCAAGTATTAAAATGGTCATGTAATGCAATATCTGCAATTGTGCACTGATTTTACAACCACGTAGCTTATTTTATCAATTTCTCTGAATTTATTAAAAGTTACTTGTCTTTGTGATGGGTAATTGGATTCTTTAGGTTGCTCAAAAATAATCACCAAGCCAAAGTCTAACCATTATTCCATGACTTTTTGGAAGTGTAGCAACTTCTAAGAAAATTCTTAAAATCTTTGACATATTCTAACAATAGATTTCTTTCATAGTGCTGATGATTCTTGTATCATTTCATATTTTCTAGAGAAAATTTTGTCTCAAACGTTACTGCACGTTGCAATTACCTATGATTTTTTGAATAGCCCAATGTTCAGGCACCCCATACAAATCTGTGAGAATGTTTTGTGGGGTGGGGAATCCCCAGGTGATTTTACAATGAAGCAATGTTTGAAAGCCAGTAGTCTAAAGAACAAATTCAAGGTCTGGAATGGCAAACAAATGCATCAATATTTTCAGAATTATTTATTTCTCTTTCGGTTTTGTTTGCCTAAAAACTGACTGAATTCATTTTAGCACATGACTCCGTCATGCCCGTGGCGTTCACACTGGAGTACGCCTCTCTCTAGTCAGACGAAAAGACTCAGAAAAGGGTAACCTGGACAAAGAGTTTTAAGAAAATCAGTCTTTGGTTTCTCCATTTCCCTAGCTGCTCCTTTCTGAAAATGGCTTGAGAGAACACCTGTGCTTTTGTTCTTATTGATCTTCTCTCTGCAAAATCCACCTTCTCTAACTTTACAAAGTTATATGTGCATGTCTCATCCATCTGGAGCCTTATTATGATTACTTACACATGGGCAAGTAAATGGTTTATATTTTAAACAGGTTACGCATTTGTATATTTCTTTACATCAAGATACTATAAATATTACCCACATTATTATTAATGAGGCAAATTTCAAATACAAATTAGTATCTATACTGGAAAACACAGATATTTTAATCAATTGTAAGACATATTTAACTTTAATTTTTCTCTCTTTAAAAATTTCTAAAATGTACACTTTGCATATATTTCATAAACACATACACACATAAAAGTTATTAAATGCCAATATACAAAATCCCAATATCTATAATGTGTAAAAATTGTATCTTGTACCTTTTTAAATTGTTGGTGAAAACTACTAGACATTAACTGTATAAGTTGAGAAAATATTTGCTTTTCTATTTATTTTAATTCATAATTAATTTTTCTATTTATTTAATTCATAATTCATCAGTAATCATTGCTTTTA